AAAAAAAAGTAATGTAATGTGGAACGATTTTCCGTCATTCGTTCGAAAAATGACACTGAAGCTCGGATCACTTTGACGACAGCAAGTGACAAGCAGCATCTGTCAAATTTTAAATACACACGTTCTTACGGACACAATTATTTTGACGACAGCACGACATCTTGGCTGCAGGACTGCAATTGTCGACGTCGCCAAATTAAATCTATTTCTAATTTTGCCGGCGACAATGAGTAGATGTAGTGCTGCCACTAAAACATGAAATTTAAAAATTTTCTAGGCTTTAACAAGTCTAACGTTATTTAACTAAGAAAAAGGATAAAATAACTTTGCTATTTTTAATGTAATAACAATCGATCATTTTAAACTAATTAATCTACTTTTTTCTCTTTTTTGTACAAAAAATTCCACCAAGAGCAAGATATTTTAATATTATAGAAGTGAAATGTTTAAATGTGGCAACAACGAAATTATGTACTTCCATACCGAACAGCTGTTGTGCTAAAATAAAATCGAATTCTTTTGCTTGTGCTGCACATTATTTATGTTTGGTAAGATTTTCGCCTTTAATTGTAATATTAGTATTTTGTTAACAATTGCCATTATATTTCCAGGTATAACAATGGACTTGGATGAAATTTTAATAGAAGAAGTACGCAATCATCCACTGCTGTACGATCTTGCCCACATGGAGTACAAAAATTTGAGAAGAAAGGATTATGCATGGAAGGAGGTTGCAGCTAATACAAAGTTGAGCGGTAGGTTAAACTATAAAAATAATTAATGAAATTCTGATGCTTAATTGGTTAACAGAACTGGAGTGCAAGAAACGATGGAAGAGCCTCCGCGACTCCTATAAGCGCTGCAAAAGGATGGATCAACTCGCTTCCGGCAGTAGTGCTGAAACACCAAGGAAAAAATGGAGATACTTCGAATCACTATCATTTTTGGAAAATGTATCGAATTCCAGGCGGTAAGTGATATTAAATAAGCACGCAGATATACTGCAGATCTAGGGTACGTTTTAATTATATGTACAACGATGTTGGGTCGCTGTGCCCAAACGTGTGACCCGAATCGAAAAACTTTTATACATACTTCTAGACAAGTTTCTACACTTTATTTAAAAATAATAATTTACTATATCTCTGCACTAATTTATTAATAATTTTGGTTTGAATTATGGTCCCCAATCTCCCCTATTTTCAAACAGCTTCCAAGGGGCCCCACCCCAAAATCGTTGTACAAATTACTAAAAATTGCATCACATTTATTTTAAATTGTATTTTT